GTATGATGTTGCCATTTTCCCCAACGATTACAAGGTAATTGGTATCTCTAAGAGTAGTCCAACCACAAAACCCACGGTCGGCGTAACTCTAAGACCACGAATTGACAGATATAATGCCATTACTGCTGTTTGTTGACAAATACATGCTAGCTGGCCAGGTAAGCTACTTAGGAACGCTTCATGCGAGCATTCAACCCTGAAAGGATACAGCGAATCGACATATTTTCACAAAAAATCCCATGAGGGACAAAATCCAACCTATAGGCGAGATCACGCAAAAGGTACCTGGGAGGTAGGAGGGCGTGTGTTTGTCTTTCAAATATGTGATGACTTTTGTGAGAATCTTTTCTTATGTATATAGAGGAACTAACATACAAGTTTCGCGTGATATGTAAACGGTATTGTTAGACTTATCACTTCATAATATTTCGGAAGTTTCCACATAGGGTCAGGTAGATCTTTCAATTCCAAATTTATTCACCGTAGCAAACACTCAGTATTTGCTCACCTCTCCGTACCTTCTATACCTCGTCAATCACCATGCTAGATCAATACAATCAAGTTCCCATCTGGAATAGGTTTATCGAAAGAGTATGAATATTAAGGATAAAGATCAAATTATCATTGAGCACTGAGGTAGTACATGTTGCTGTTCGCACATAATTTCTTTTCCCTCGCCGGAGCGCAAGGTTAATCAATTATATCATGTGATCAGCAATCAAAGTGCATAGGCATTTTGAAATTACAAACCAGATTGCAACCAAAAATACAGAGCGATACATATGGCCATCGATGACATCTGTGGAACCCAACAAAGTGAAGCCAGCGGGCAAATCTCTTTTTTCAACATCAGCTGGTGGAGCATCCCTCTTGATTGCATTGCAAGCCGGGTCTCGAGCGTTGACATTCATCGTGAACCAGATACTTCTCCGGTATCTCTCACCCGAGCTCCTTGCTGTGTCAACACAACTTGAAGTTTACTCCATCACTGTACTTTTCTTCTCCAGAGAAAGTCTGCGTGTCGCAATACAGCGCCAGACCGACACGAGCGACGATGACTCTAAAGCCAAACAGGACAGTAATCTGTCCACAAAGGACAGATATTTGGATAGCCGAACGACTGCTGGTAAAAGCCAAGCAATCGTGAATCTGTCTTACATCTCTATTGCTCTCGGATTGGCATCTACGCTGCTGTTTGGTTGGATCTATGCCAATGCCGGGCAAACTGGAGTGATTGAAACGCCTTATTTTCAACAATCTTTGAAATTATATGGTGTGGCTGCAATTCTAGAATTGCTGGCCGAGCCATGTTTCGTCATCGCGCAACAAAAATCGGCCTTCAAAGTTAGAGCTGCTGCGGAATCGATAGCAACAGTTTTGAGATGCATTGTTACTTGCGCTGTTGCGGTTTGGGCTGCGCGTCATCAGATAGAGTTGGGTGTACTGCCATTTGCCATTGGCCAGGGGGCATATGCTATTGCGATGCTACTGGTGTACTCATTGGGCGTCTGGAACATTGCGTCGCGGGGCGGATTCTCATTAATGATCAAGCCTATTTACAGGTATTTGAAACATCTTGACATGGTACAATTTACGAAGCTAATTAATGGTAGTAAGAAGAAGGAGTATATCTACTCTTACCTCTCCAAACCACTCTTATCTTTGGGAGGGAGCTTGATGATACAATCAATGGTAAAACATGTCTTGACACAAGGCGACACGTTTCTTATAGCATCTATGGCCACCCAAACAGCCCAAGGTATCTATGCACTAGCGAGCAACTATGGTGGCCTGGTTGCTCGACTAGTCTTACAGCCAATCGAGGAAATGTCCAGAAACTACTTCGGGAAGCTCCTTTCTGTCGTTGACGGAAAGCCAACCAAGGGAGCTGCCGAGAAAGCCAGCACAGAATTGCACAGGCTTCTACGTATATATCTTATATTGTCAGTTGCCATAGTTGCCGTAGGTCCAACTATCGCCCCGCTTCTATTGAACTTCATTGCTGGCCCACGATGGCAGTCTTCTGGAGCTGGCAATGTTCTTGCAGTGTATTGCTACTACATACCATTACTTGCACTAAATGGAGTGTGTGAGGCTTTCGTAGCCGTTGTTGCCACCGAAGCCGAAGTTTATAGGCAATCTTTGTGGATGTCTGCTTTCTCTGCCGGCTTTGGTGGTGCCGCTTATCTGTTTTTAGGAATTTTGGATCTCGGGGCCGAAGGTCTAGTACTGGCAAATATGGTTAACATGCTCTTGCGGATCATATGGTGCAGTCGTTTCATTCTGACTTACTGTGGGCGCTATGGCGCTAAATTCACAGTTAAAGACTTGTTACCACGACCTAGCACAATCTCACTTGGGGTCGTTACGTATGCCGCACTTGCTCAAATGAGAACATCATTCACGGGTAGTTTAGTGGACATTGTCAAGAGTGGTTTGGTGGCAATAATTTTTGTGATTCTCCTGTAAGTTCTCAGCTGCAACGCCGATCTATAAACTACTAACCATTACGCCTTGATAGAGCCACGAGCGAGAAAGGATATCTCCTCGAATGTTACCATGCAATTAAAGGCTGAATCTAAATTCTCCCAGCAAATTATCCTATAACCCTAGCTAATTGCATCTTAATCAAATGTTATCTTTGTTGCTTTTTTGGTAGTGTCCACATTCTTGAAAAATGCACCATAAGCATCGTGAGCCTTCTTCTTGACCGTAGTACCAAACTTCAATAATTCGTCGGGGACTGGTTGGTTAGCTGCCTTGAGGACGTTGATCAAACTAAATCGACTATTAGTAGATGATAGATCAAAATTTGGATGTTTTACTTACGCGCCAGACTGAGCCTTGTCATGCTCAGTGAACAATGTAATTGCCAGTCCATCTTTGCCAGCTCTACCTGTTCGACCAATGCGGTGCACATAGTCTTCCACTGTAAGAGGGAACGTGCAGTTGATAACTAACTTGACAGCAGGAATATCCAGACCTCGAGCTGCGACATCTGTAGCAACCAAGATTGGAGTGTTACCACTCTTGAAAGCCTCCAAACTCCTCGTTCTTTGCTCCTGACTCAAATCACCATGGATACCAGCAACTCGGAAGCCCTTCTGTCTAATAAAACTCTCTACTCTGGTAGCTTCCTTTTTGTACAAACAAAAGACCAGGATTCGGTCATCTTTTTGACTGCCACTTTGATATTGCTTTAATAGTTGCATAAGTCTGTATTCCTTATCTCTTGGTTCCACAACCTCAACCTTTTGAACGATGCGCGAGTTGGCTCGCAAATCTCCTGTGGGATTGTCACCAATTGCAATCTTCACAGGGCTGGTCATGAATGTGGCAGCTAATTCGCGAACAGACTCGGGCCAAGTAGCTGTGAACATGAGTGTCTGTCTCTTTCCAAGAGAGGGAGTAGTGTTGATAATCTTTCTGATCTCTTCCTCAAACCCTTTATCGAGCATACGATCAGCTTCGTCAAGAACGACATATCGGGCCTTGCTCAAATCTGCGCACCCTTGATTGATGAGATCGTTGAGACGACCGGGGGTAGCGACAACGATGTCCGCAGTTTTCAATGCTCTGATCTGCTCATCCTTGGGAACACCACCATACACACAGACACACAAAAGACCAGATGCCTTGGCAAGTTTTACAATCTGCTCATAACTCTGCATCGCCAATTCTCGAGTCGGCGACACGACAACGGCCCTAGGACCTTTGTTTATCTGGTTCTTGGGCAAAGCTGACATATAACGCACGCAAGGAACAGCGAATGCCATGGTTTTGCCCGAACCAGTCTCGGCGACACCAATTACATCGCGACCAGCGAGCAAGAACGGCCACGCGGCGGCTTGAATAGGTGTTGGGGCCTTGAAGTCCTTAAATGGGGCTCGTTGAGCAGGATCGGTGATCGGTAGGTAATCGAAATTTGTCAGCGGTCTTAGAGTAGCTGAGGTAGATAATGGGTCGGTGATGGTGATGAAGTTTGTAGTCAAGAAGGAGTCTATTTCGCTTTGTGGCAAGCCGCTCAGATTAGGATCTTCTGTGTACGTTGTTCCATTTTGTTGCGGAGTAACGCTTGCAGGGGCTGCAGTTTCAATAGACTTGGTGCTGTCAGCCTTCTCTTCTTTTTCTTCCTTCTTCAATGCCTTCAATCGTGCCTTTTCTGCCTTTTTAGCAGCTTTCGCATCTGCAGCAGCATTGGCATCCGACGCAGGCTCAATTGCATCGACTCCTGATTTTTCTTCTTCTTCTGTCTCCTTTTCTGCCTCTTGAGCTTTCTTCTCCTTCTTAAGTCGTTTTCTTTCTCTGCGAGCCTCTTTCGATTCTACCTCAACTTCGATTGGGGTGGATTCTGTGGCTGGCTCTTCGACATCCTTGGATTTCTTTTCCTTCTTATCCTTCTTTTCTTTGCGACTTTTCTTGGAGGAGATCTTGATGTCGTTATCCCCAGAATTGAATTCTGTATCTTCTATTGTACGTTTCGGCATGATTAAAATTTGCAATCGTGGTTGATTTACACAGTCAAATATATTTTCAAAAAAGCTGCAGATGGCTAGATGCTACCCTGCAGAAAAAAAATATTTAGTTCCTGACAAATGATAAGATAAAGACACCTTCACCCGCTTTGCCGATTCGCGGCTTAACTTTTTTTCGAAATTTAATTTGGCGAATCAAAGCATTTCAGAATATCTTGACATTTCTCTCTCTGTTATTACTTATACTACCCAGTTCAATTTTGAATGCCATGGTCGCCCACTCTACAAGATTGGGTTACTATGGCCATTTGCAATTGTGAATTGAGTTTCCTGTCTAACTCATCGAATTCCACATCTGGTGATCCTTCTTCGTGGATCTTGTAGACACCCTTCCCTGTCTTGCATCTTTATGAAATTAGCTAGACACATCATATCTTGAAATACAATATGGTACATATCAGGAACGAAATCAATCACTGTTTCGATCATTTTTTACGGTGACTGCTAAACGCAACTGTTGGTATCTTATGCTTCATTTAACTAAGATGTCGTACCTAGCTGTGTGAGTGGGAGAAAACTAAACCTCCCCTAAACAATCCGGCTAATACCCAAATTTGGTGTTGGATCAAGACAAGGTCAATTAGACCAGTCTCCTCTGCCCGTTCTGATCTTTCCTGACTTCAATAGCCTGGCATCCGATCACCGATCCATGTTTTACCAGATCAAACAAGTACACCTTTCAATCATAATACACGTGGAAAGAAAAACCTTCATGTCCTAAATGCGCCTACTATCAATGTTTCTTTAAACCGTTGCTGTCTGGGACTGTGCGGGTTCCATCACTGCGTCCACGTCAATCTTTGGCATGGATGCACCAGTACCTCCGAGGTTCGTAGATTGAGATTTGGGGTTCTTGGTGTAGTAATTCGAGATAGCAGATTTGATGGCATCCTCGGCAAGCATAGAGCAATGGACTGAGGCAATGTTAGTATATGCAACTAGGTAAATGTAAAGTGCATAGACTTACGCTTCACAGGTGGAAGACAGAGCTCCTTTGCAATTTCTGTATTTCTCACTCGACCGGCCTCCTCAAGTGTCATTCCTCGCACCAATTCTGTCAAGTATGAAGAAGAAGCAATGGCCGAACCACAACCAAACGTCTTAAACTTCACATCGGAAATAGTGTTTGTATCTGGATCCACTCTGATTTGCAGCTTCATGACATCGCCACATGCTGGTGCGCCGACCAAACCAGTCCCTACATCGGTATCCGTTTTTGACATACTGCCAACATTTCTCGGCCGCGAATAATGATCGAGGACCTTTTCATGATATGACCTGCGACCAGTAACGAAAGATGGCGATGCAATTTGAGCTGGTACAGGTCTGATAGCGGAGTGGCTGTTTGCCGATAACACTCTACCGGCAACGCGGGGTGCATTTGACAAAGCTCTTCGAAACATTTTTGTGATATGTAATGGAGTGGCGATCGGATAGGTAGGAAGATTGAGTTCGTATCAATCAAAAATTTGATGATGTGATGATATATGAATCAGGTAGAGTATTGAACTTGATGAGATTTAATGTTGTGGAGTGTAGGTGGGTAGTATGATTTGATTATTACTGTATTGCGGATGAAGTAGGTAGGTTGTGATGGTGTTTGGTGTTTTGACTTGTATAAACTTGGGGTAGATCTGATAATAAATTGACGGGATTTTCAAGAGGTCATCAAAGAAATAAAGAAATATAAGTGGGAGCCAGGATCTAGAGGAAAGCGGGATTCGCGGAGCTCGGAGTCTTAAAAAAGACCTCAATGAGGCTTAGCTTGTGTATTTAACTGCCCGAAGCACCGTTATCAAGCCTATGCTGCTTATCTCAAGCGTTTTTATGTCATAAAGACGGATATAAGGTGGAAACGAACCAATCAATGAATTATGATGATGATTAGCACACCAACCATTGTTCCAAATGATGGAAAAAGACCGATGGATACCGGCGGAGATAAGATCGATTGAAATTAACGGGCCAATGAACTGTCACCAGTCTCTATGCGAAGACCGGACGCTGGCAAAATGAAGTGAATGACAAATTCTCTTTTTTCCCTTCTCCAATGTAAAATACCTAGAGTAAGTGGTGGCGAGACACAAGAGATATGGACTGTCTACCTTGAACACTCTGTCGAGTCTGTACATCGAGATCGAGAGACTACCTAGTAGTGGATTAGACTAGTTAGACTAATGGGAGACTGAAAGGCCACTCCCGTGATACCGCGATACTTTTTACCCCTCACGTGCCCCCCCCAGATTGCTTTGATCTGTAGCAATCCGTGTAGTACGAGCCTGCTAGGCCTACCTAGAGTGATCTTTACGCGTTGATGCTTCTCTTCTATGATCTATCGCATGCACTTACTTACCCATCACCCCACCAAACCACGAAATATCCCACCCCACCCCACCATCCCACACCAACACCACATTTCCGCTTTCCCATTTGGATAAATCTCACCCGCCTCGAGACTCCCTACCTGTCTAATACTTAGTGGTACATACCTAGTATCATCTACCACTACACACTACCGCTACTTGACCTGCTTGACATTCTACCAATATCAACACCTACCTCTCAAGGTCATCAATTCCTTACTACTTACATAACATAGCAATCTAAAAATTGCGGGCAACATTACAAGATACCCTAGACAAATGTCTTGTAAGCATATTGACGCAGCTGGTAAGTTCCTTACAACCTCTTGACCACCAACCTAGTATTAAAACTGATGATACCTCAGAGCTGCGTCCCCCAGGACCAAGCCAAGCTGTCTATCGCGAAGATTGTACTCAATGTTTTGATTCCATAGTAAGCTTCATAATTTGTTTGTGGCAATTGCTGCTCTATATGTTGAAACATTTTCTGATGGCATAGCACGACTGACCTTAATTCTAATCTAGGATGATTCCACTGGTTTGGATGTTTGTCTGCTTTGCTTCAATGGCGGCTGTACTGGCGATAGGAACCATTCCAAGCTCCATCATAGCATCAAAAACCATCCTTTGGTCCTCAATATTCGAAGAACAAAACGCCATATTGTTCGAGATGAGCCCCCTCCAAAGATGTCCAGATTAGCCATCGCCGCAGAAACCGAAGCCGATCGATTCGAGTACCATACAAAAGTTCGTTGTCATGAATGTGCAGTTGACGATATTGATAAATCTTCCGGTAAATTATCTGCAGTTGTAGATGGTGTAATGAAAGCAAATACATTCTCAAGAAAGGAAGAAGTGAAGGCTTGGGAGCAAGAGTTTACGTCGTGTGAACACATTCTCACCTTACAACAAGAAAGCGCACGCCAAATACAGTCTCAAGATCTAGGCCACTGCTCTCTTTGCGATCTCAAAGAGAACTTGTGGCTCTGCTTACATTGCGGTAATCTGGGATGCGGGCGAGCGCAATTTGGTGGACTCAAGGGACATTCCCATGGACTGGAACACAAACAGCAAACTGGACACGCAGTTGCGGTCAAATTAGGATCAATCACTTCAGATGGCACGGCTGATGTGTACTGTTATGCATGCGACGAGGAACGGATTGATGAAAATCTTGGGAAGCACCTCGCCCACTGGGGAATTATGCTCGCCGAGCGAGAGAAGACCGAAAAGAGTTTGATGGAGATGCAAGTCGACGAAAATATGCGTTGGGAGTTCTCCATGACTGACGAACAAGGCCACGAGCTGACGAAACTGTTCGGCAAAGGATTTACTGGTTTGAAGAATTTAGGCAATAGCTGCTACCTGGCAAGCGCGCTCCAGTGTCTATTTGACCTGCCCCAATTTCAAAAGCGCTATTTGTTACCAGATACAGATCTACCTATTGTCGAAGACCCTGCTCAGGACCTGGAGACGCAGTTGCGCAAGTTGGCAGATGGTCTGCTTTCGGGCAGATACTCGTTCCCAGACCCTGCTACCAATCAATCAGAATCGAGCGGCGTTGCAGATCAGAAAGGATTGCCACCTTCAATGCTGAAATATTTGGTGGGAAGAGGCCATGCCGAATTTTCAACCATGCGTCAACAGGATTCTTTCGAGTTTCTCCTCCACGTCTTCAAATTAATTACACGTTCTCAGCACGTAGCTCCATCCGAGGATCCCATACGAGCTTTTCGCTTCGTCATGGAGCAGCGCCTGCAATGTCTAGGCTGCAAAAAGGTGCGATATCGTACAGACGAGCAAGATAATATATCTATTCCTGTGCCAGTAAGAAAAGTACAGGCAACGGCTACTACAGACGGCGAAAGGAAGGATGAATACGAAGCTGTAACGTTGAAGGAGTGTTTAGATAGTTTCACGTCTGAAGAGATCGTAGAACTCACTTGCTCGGCATGTGGCAGTAAAGATGGGTTTTCCAAAAGATCGCTCTTTAAAACATTCCCAGAGGTTCTCGCCGTGAATGCTAGAAGATTTGTTCTCATCAATTGGGTGCCTACCAAGGTCGACGTTCCTGTCGTTATTGGAGACGAGAAGTTCCTTCTAGATGATTATCAATCACCTGGTTTGCAACCTTCAGAAACACTTCTCCCCGATGACGATGAGTCAGATCAACCTTCGTTCACTGCAGATGCAGCAGCTTTACAACAGCTCGAGGCCATGGGATTTCCAGTGGTCCGTTGTGAGAAAGCCTTACACGCTACTGGAAACAGTGACGCCAACGCCGCAATGGAATGGCTCTTCGCACACATGGAAGATGCAGACATCGACGTTCCACTAGATTTGAGCTCTGGCAAAGCTACATCTGCTACAGCCGACCCTGAGAAAATAGAAATGTTAGGCGCTATGGGTTTTGGACCTCCGCAAGCGCGAAAGGCATTAAAAGAAACTAATGGCGACATGGAACGAGCTGTAGAGTGGCTTTTTAGTCACCCAGATGACCAGGGCGAGTTTGAAGATGAGGTAGCCGCTGTCAACAGCGATGTCACTAAAGAGGATCCTCCGGGAAGCACCGAATTGCCCGCCACATTCCAGCTACAATCTATCATATGCCACAAAGGATCTAGCATACATGCAGGGTACGTTGTCTCGATTGTTGATAGCTGAGGATATAATTAACGATATATATAGTCACTACGTCGCATTTATCCGTAAAGAGATTCCTGAAGATAAAACGGCATCGTGGGTGCTCTACAATGATGAGAAGGTGGTCAAGGCCAATGACGCCGAAGAGATGAAAAAGTTTGCATATGTTTATTTCTTCAAACGAATTGATTAAGCGAAAAAGGGAGTATGGGATGGCACATAGCGGTTACGACTTGCAATTGTTGAAAAGAAATGACGATGAGCATGATGATGACAATAGAGATAGCGCAGTTAGTGTGCATCAAGCAAAATAAATTCATTCAGCTCATGCCAGTACTATGATAAGATGAAGATGTATAAAACTCCAAAGATATCACTGACTGCCAAACTTCGCATTGACAGAAATGATCTTTGTAAAGGCGCTCGCTCGGGTATCTCTTCTTATTGGTCAACCATTGGTTCCTCGGCCACATAATGCAAATATGCACCCAACAACTTGATGCCCTCAATGTAATTTCTCTTGTCTAATTTCTCATTGATCGAATGAGCTGCATCTGTAGAACTACCCATAGGTAAAAGGAGGACATTCTTGCCAGTGGCCTGCTCGAAAGTTAAGGTGACGGGAATACTAAGTAAAATATCAGCATTTATCACGAGTAATCCAAGTGGAGAAAGTAACTGACCTTCCTCCCTCACGAGTCAAATCAGGCTTGACACCCCAGACCCTCTCGACAGCCTTTGCAGCGCTCGAAAAGTTCCAGTGCTTTGGACTAGCGACCCACCACTTACCAGCATGCTGCAAGTAGCATCGCATAGTATTCTTGCTTCCAAGCTTCTTGAATTGCTCATCGACGTACTTGAAGACGAGGCGATCTACGTCCTCGGGCTCCATATTTGGAACAGTTCGAATCGAGAACTTTCCGATGACTTTGGCGGGGATAACTGTCTTGGCACCTGGCTGAGAGAATGCACCTTCAATACCGTGAACTGACAACGATGGATATCTCCAGCGGGCCATTAGGGTGTTCTCCTTGTCGTTGTGGATGGTGGTCTGACTACCTAACGATTCATGGAGATTGTCCATAGTGAATGCAATATCACCATAAAGGGATTTCTCCTCATCTGTGAGGGGAGCGACAAGTTCAGCCAAGCCTGGTATCTGAATCTTGCCATTTGTATCTACCAGGTTGCCAAGTACCCTGACCAAATCAGTCATTGGCTCTTGAGCTGTGCCTCCAAACACTCCACTGTGGAGATCTTGTCCGGGTCCCGAAATTTCAATGGAGTAATAACTGCAACCGCGAAGACCTGTTTCAAGCAAATCAGTTTGTTATTATGTCGAGAAAGAGATACTTGTGAGAGGTTGGAAGGGAGGAAAATGATACTCGAGACAAAGAAGAAGACTGCTGAAGTGCTTACCATAAGTAAGACATGGCTTTTCGGTACCAAGCCAGTAGTTATCAGAAATACAAACAGCATCTGTATCTGCGAAAAATTTATCGGCCTCTTCCTTAATAAAGTCATCCAAGCCCTCTGAGCCATATTCTTCCATTCCTTCAAAGCACATCAACAAGTTGACGGGGAAGTCAACACCGGCCTTCTGATGGGCTTCAATTGCATTGAGCCAGCCAAGAACTGGACCCTTATCATCTGTACTTCCTCTGCCATACATTCTTCCTTTATCATCGACAGTAAGCTCGAATGGTTCTGTGGCCCATCCATCTTCTTTCCCAGCGGGTTGTACATCATAATGTCCGTATACGAGGATTGTGCGTTTCTTCTTGTCATTTCCATATCGTGCAATAACTACAGGAGGAAGATCTAGATGCTCCATTCCTGGTTGTTTGCCTAATGGTCGTTTTTCGACATGGGCACCGAGCGCAGCGAGCTCATCAGCTAAGAACTCTCCCATTCGCACAACATCGGGTCTGCGTTCTTCCTCGGAGGACACGGATGGAATTGCAACTGCTTTGCGAAGTCTTTCGATAAAGTGATCCGATAGATCATCTACTTGCTTGAAGTAGCCATCGAGTTGAGGAGCCATTTTTACTTTTCGAGCTTGGTGTAACTGGATAGCGGGGGTGAGATAGGTTGAGATTCGGATTGGTGAGGGGTGAAGTTTTGGAAAACGGGATACTTTCAGGGAATTTCTATCTTCAACAAAACGAGTAAGTCTTGAACGTTGTAGAACTGTCGATATTGACTTTGTTGAGATTCGTGGTTTGATTGTGAACATGAGGTACCCTATGAGGATATAAACTTTCGAGCTTCCTGTTTTGGTGGATGGTGGGGTAAAATGGTGTCAATGAATTACGAAGGGTGGAAGGGTCCGAAGGGTGTTGAATAATATCTAATGAACTAATATCATTGGTTAACTAATATGGAGGATTTAGGCTTACAACGGCTTATGATTTAAAGCCGGTAGCTGATATTTTCTTTTGATTTTTCTAGCAAAAAATATAGCAACATAGCATGGTAAAACCTTCTATAGAACGGGGCAGAGTAGTAGATGATGATCAGACGGTAATTTACATTAGATTAGAATTATGGTATCGCCATTTCATTATCAATACATTGTATTTGTATAAAGTAATTTCAAATGTATGATCGCTTCATTGAACGCTTTTCCTACTCACGTCTACTACTACATAGTCTCACGTAGTCTAAACACATATCGCTTATGGAGCGTATATTCACTTACTTTTCCGGACTCAACCTACTCATTGTGCTAGTAGATAGACACTTGCTAATATCTAAAATACAAGGCGATGTATGTTGTGTTGAGACTATTTCACTGTGAATAACCAACAGATAAATTTGACTTGATGTGATAGCTTTCTTCAATTGGATCTTCATTGCCTTCAACAACATTGAATCTGGACTCAAATCTCTGTACTTCGGACTAGACTTCTTGAAAATTAGAAATATTAGGATGATACGTTATGTCCCGTTCATTGCCCTCGGCGAGCAGCATTCAATGGCAACTAGATGATCGATTGCCCAATATAGATGTTCATTGTTTCATAAGTCAAAAAACCTCCATCATTGGGATGCTCTCATCTCGTATTGTTTCGAGCAGCTCTCGAATCTCTAGAATTGGGGGCGTCTTAAAAGTTGAGCCTGACGCAACAAATGGGAATGCATGCACATCTTACAAGTTGTGAGCTCTTGGAGGCAACATAGTCACACCAGTTTCATGTTTGAAATAGCTCGGTGTGGAAGGATGAGAGCCTTGCTATTCTCAAGATAGTGGTAAGTTTGACAATCACGCTCATACACTTATCCTCATACCAACGTTGCCATGATTATGATCACGATCACGGATAGATCGATCTCATGCATATGTCCGCAGCGAGTAGTATTCGACCTGGAATGACAACACACAAGGACAACATAAACTCCTGCCTGCAGAACTACCATCTGCCATCTATCATGTTTCTATTTTTGTTGATTGAGTTACTTCATCTTACGTGATAAATCGGAAAATTTGTGGATGTTATTCAGGCACCATGCAGTAGTTGGGAGAATATCTGCAATTCTACTTGGACTGCATTACTTTACCGTATTATTACACTATTGATCTCACTCAGCACACCAAGAAGGTTATTTTCCTTATATTATCCTTTCTCCTACTATCACTTTCCCCTTTCAAACATACTCGAAACCTATTTTGAGACGAGGCTATAACAGAGTGTGTTATCATATCACGACTTACAGTGAGGCGCAGCTCCAAAAGGTGGTGTGGGGTCACGCACTCCCTCCATTGCATACCTCTGCAGGTGTCCAAATTCAGGTACCGCATGATATCTTCCGGTATTCAATGTACGGACTGAACAGTCTTACACTCACTCCAGGCATATCTCGACTGCGTAGAATGCCATTCCCTACTAGATCTCCAGGAACGACTAAGTACATGTAGTATCGCGCTGTAAGAAGCATCCGTTTGTCACGATTGGGTGGGGGACTTTTGTACCTGCGCTGGGGGTTGCAGACTCTCTTTTACCGTCACGGGAAAGTACATCATCCAGCAGGGACACGGACAAGAGGCATTCTTCTAGAACATATACGGCGTCTAAGGTTCTGTCGCGTCGGCTAGAAACTAAGGATGCTCGCCTCAGGTCTACTTGAAGGGGAGTTTCATGGAAGGGGTCACCAGATCACTCAGTGTAGAACGCAAACACCATTCTACAATATTCTAAATTAAAGTTGACTTTATGAAGAAGTTTTCTTCGATCAAAAACTTGAGAGAAAACACCGAACTAGATCGCCGTCTGTGGTATGTTAGTTTTTGACGATATCAATGTGCATCCAAAATCGTGACCACTCGGGAGTTACATAGGTAGAAATGTACACAGTGGGGAGATAGATAATGATGGTGAGATTGGTACTATTAGCCGGCCTCCCCCTGAGAGTTCATCTCATCTTCATACTGTTTCGAGGTTCTCCCGCAAACAATGGAGATGATAAATCCCCCAAAATCCCAATTTTTGGGACGATGACGATTAACCTTAAGTGTTTCAAACATGACCCTTTTCCAAGAATCGATAGGTCTAGAGTTCTCAACTCGTATAGAACCTATTTGGAGCAGTCGACTTTCTGCTCTAGGTAGACGGCTTTCATAAGTTCATAACAGACACATGGCAGTAGGGTTTCATTGTGTCACATCCTTGGAGAATTCTTGTAAATAGCCTTTTCTTGGTGGTTGGGTCAAGTATTTCGGGGGCCTCTTCAGGGTCGTCACGGTGGATAATGGTATGACAAACGATGCCAAAGTGGGTATCTGTACAATGCAAGCCAAGCTACGAAGCTACTGTAAGTTCTGAGCATGCTGAGGTCGTAGCACAACCCCTCCCGTCAAGTCCTCTCAGTCCTGTAACAGACCACACGATGAACCCACACAGATCCTTCTTGACTCCATTCCCATCATCTAATTAATCAGTCACCTATCATTCTCTTGGGAAACCAACCTCTCATGCTATGGATACTATGGATAGATACTACATACTTTGACGTTCCGGTTTTCCGCTGTCTACTCCATCGTAACATGAGCCAATGAAGAGCAATGAATCCCATGAACCCCCATTCCCGATTCCTGCCCATGTCGAAGATCACTTAATCAATTTCGAACTTCATGAAAAATCCATCGCAAATAAAACCGAAAAGAGGTTGCGGTTAGTCAGTCTATGGTACTCCGTACGTTACACCTCCCTCCCTCCCTCAAAGGATAAGAGAAGCTTACGTTAATGATACGAAGATTTTGTAGGTATCTGAATTCTGAAGACGTATCCGGGTCCATAGGTAGGTATTATGCATGTTAAAAAAAAAGTATAGCTAATTGATCGAGAAGAATATTACACACATACAACACATGTAACGTCTTTCTATTAGTGGTGGCATTTCGAGAGTCCGAATATGAAATCCTTTTTGGGAATCAGGTGCAGATATGCCCATGTTAATCCTTACCAAGTACCACGAGTAACTAGATACGGTGCGGTGTCCACTTTTGGATTCCCACGCCCTTGTCTCCCGGATTGTTGGGTTGGACAGAAGACGAACCAAACCCATGAAATTAATTAAGTTTGAAGAAAATACATGCTCTTGTCACATGTATGTAAGCAGGTAGCGAGGAAAGACCAAAAGAATCCAAGACACAGCAAGGTGGTATGGTTCGGTTAAAAACAAAGAACGACAAGAAAGAAAAATTGTGGTCGATTATTAACATTTACCGTACTGACTATCGCGTTCTAGAGATCAGATCATATAGCCTCATAAAGTGTTTGTGTATACAGGATTATTTATATTGTATCTGTCCTCATCCTGGGCGTTGAGTGCCGTGGGAAAACTTCCTCAGCATCATTAGCCTGAGGACCGACGTCCTGCCTATCAGTCAGCCAGCCAGGGAATCTATATTACAATTTTGGAACTTCGCGATTTTTTGGTCCTGTTTGAAAACTTATCTCCCGATTTACGATTGTATCAGGAAGATATGGGAGTTGCAACATCAATTTGAGATATTCAAAGAGGGGCGCAATCTTTTTGCTTTCCAATTTTAGAGTGGGCTGAAATCACCGTTATCCTCTTCCATCAACTCGAGTTAAACGACGGGCCGCATTTGCTGGGAGTAAGAACATGGCATGCCAAGGATATAACAGGGGGAGGCAGGGGGTTCGGATGAAAAGCCCCCAGTCCATTGGTTGTGTAGCCGTGCTTATGGTGCCTTTGCTCTTTAGTCCTAGATGAGTACCCAGGCGCAGACCTTTTCAGCGAATGATAGATGCTTTCCATCTGCAAGTTTGCTGCAGACTTACTGACCAACATATTAATTCGGTCATTTTTGTTTATTCTTGTCTACTCTACTGTATCATCCCATCTAGCAGCACTACATACACTTACTTGACCTGTATCTACAGCCGGACAACCTAACTCGTTTCAGCAATAGTCATTCTTTTGTGATGAGTAGAATGTTACATTTTGCATCATCTTGTTCATAAATAACATCGAGCTACTCACTTTGCATAGAACTCGTGCATGGTCCATAAGCGCAAACATCAGGGGTGCCACGAGCGAAAGCTGACACTTTGAATTTGATGCGGGATCCGAAGCCATGGGGTATGGTTTCTATAAGCGCCCTCAGACAAGGTCTGCAGTATGCATGGGGTTGATGGACAACGGGCAGCCTTCCACGACTTTCCTCCTCGTCTTGTCTTTTCCCTCTCTCCCTCCAACCATTCTTCTTTGTAAACATAATCGCGAAGCCAGCAATGCCCCGCGATAAGTTCTATCTTTGTGCATCTACTGCGCATTTGTCTAGGGACATTGGAAGTACATGACATATACATTTCAAAAATTATCTTACACCCTGAAGCATCGTCACCATCCCAGACTCTGCTCACCAAAGACTTCAAGTGCCGGTATTGGCTCTTGTGCTGAAGCTCCCGCCCCTGACATTATCTATTCTTTCCAGAAAGGCTGTGCAGGGCTGTAGGGATACATCTTTGTTCGTTTCCAATTTGAGGATAATCATCATGTCGAGCCTTAAAGATATCATGGACGTAGATGTGGAGCCTCTTGAATCTCAAGCCTATAGAAGGAAGGAGGTCGCTCAACAACAAGCTTCTCGACCATCCATTGATCCTTCATCTCAAAGTCCCTCTCCTCAGCTTGATGATACTAAAGGGAAACTATCCATGAACCATCGAAGATCAAATCGAGTTTCAAAGTCGTCTACTCAACCTACAATATCGCGGCCCAATTCATCACGGCGGCGTAGCAGCGGTGCTGGAGAAGCCATGGACTTTTCGGCCTATCAAGGTGGTGGATCAAACCAAAGAAGCATATCGGGCAGTCCTTCACAAACATCTTCGAGAGGGGGAATGGAACCAATGGCAGATATAGTGCCTATTAAATACACACCTGTGACTGGACGTATTAGCAGAGCAAAGAAGGGTATACCAGTTCATACATGCGACGACTGTAGGAAGGTTCGTTCTTAGATCCAGTTAACTCTCAAGCCATAAGCTAATAAAAACACAGACATTCACCAGGGCGGAGCATCTCAGGTAAGGATTTGAACCTCTCAATCTGACCGTGACATGAAGAAACTCTTTGCGCATACCAAGATGTATATCGTAACAGCTATTCATGTAGTCATGAGTGGTAATTTGGATTGGAATGGACGCTTAGGAGAGAAGAATATGGACTAATTTTCGATAATTTCGATTACAGGAGACACAAACTCAGTCATGGTAAACCCGCATATCCATGTACCTTTGAAGACTGCGAGAGAACATTTCATCGCCCGGACTTACTTGCACGTCATCTCAATCGACAGTGTGTTTCCTCCTCTCCCGCTTGAGAACATGGCTAATGAACTAAAGCGAGACACAAGGCGAGAAGGCATACAAATCTAGTGACCCAAGAAGCAGGGCCTCCTCAAGCGCATCGGAGAGTGCTCCTGTAAAGTTAGAACCTACACCTCATGGAATCCCCATGGGCCTAGGTCAGATGTCTCCAGAAAATCCAATGACACCTAGAACTTCAGCGGGAACGGATCATTCTGTCCTAGCTCCGACTTTCAATACGATGACGGGGAATTTCCAACCTGTTGACTTTTCATCGGGAAGCTCTCATAGAGGGTCTGTCAGTCAAGCTCAAGTGACCGATGTGGAAGTGTACACTACGGCATCACCTGGTTCGGTCCCATCTAGGTAAGATTGACCACAATTGTTATAAAATCCACTCTTTTTTGCTTGTACGCTTAGACATCTTGATTCGTGCTGTTCATTCATTTATCCAGACAATATACAGGGACTACGTGACTGACTTTAGATAGGACCTACGCTGAGATGACCCCGACCTTTAATGTACGACCTATGCCAGACTTTTCTGAGCAAGACCCTATAGGGCAACGAACTCCAGCTTCCAAGCGTTATATACCGAGGAAGTCTCCTCATTCCATTCCTATAGTCCCCCTCATGCTCTACCACTTCTACGCATTCCCGAAGAACCTTATATGCCAAGTTTATCTTACACGCACGACAACTCACCCTGGTGTTCATCGGCTTCCGATAGCACATATTCAGAGAGCTCACGCACGGGGAGAATAGCACACAGAGGTCGATCTGGATCGTTAGTCGCAGGATCTGAATGGCCTGTTCCGGTTCCAAATGGGCAGTGGACCCATGGTATGGAATTTCACCACAATTTTCAAACCATGAACTAATGATGTTATACGATAGGTATGGCTAGTACAGCTCAGGACCTTAGAAGTCCACCTTACGAACCAATGATGGAATCTTATGATGCACCTTACACGCCCCCTAGAATGTCACCGCCATCTCGTCAATTGCTTGATGTGCCTGCTTATAATTTGGGGGGATATTATATGGAATCAGTGGGTAATCCTCACACCTCAACATATAATAAACACTTGGCTCAGACTTTTCTTCCAGCGTCCCCTTCGCGATTATCCGACCCCCGATTGGCAGTCCTTGATAGAAGACCGAAGGAGTTGGTGGGATACCAGCAATTAGATACACTGACGAACATCGAAACGGTCATTTCATCTCCTTCCCAGTCCGCAACCTCTGACCTCGACACCTATCTTTCTTTATATTGGAACAATTTCGATAAACTGTTCCCAATAATCCACCGAGGAACATACATAAAAACCCAAAATTTAGCACTCACCTTCGCAATGGCTGCCATTGGCACCCAGTACCACACAAATCCTGAAGCACGAAATCACGGCGTAGAATTCAACGCTTACTGTACTAACATAATTCCTGTGGCATTTGAATGGCCAATACAAATAATGCAAGCAATATTACTTACAGAGATATTTACTCGTTTCCGTGGTGCAAAGACCACGGTTCGCCTATCTCGCCAGTTCGAAGAGTTATACAATAGAGTGAGTCGATGCTGCTAAGGCCATCTTAAACATATTCATTAACGTCTAACAGCTCTCAAACCCTTCACCAATTTCCGATACCAACACTACTCCTACTACTACAAGTACCTCTAATGTTCTATCTAATCACTTCAATACACGAACTAGATCTCAAGACATTCAAAGCAATTGGCTGCTCTGGGTCGACACCGAGTCACGACAACGTCTGCTATGCCTCTGCTTTATTTTCGATATCCAACAAGCCATGTATCACCAGCAAAAGCGAGCCAGACTATATGTCGATCTCAACATACTATACACGCCTTGCTCGGAAGTTCTTTGGGATTCAACTAATGCAGCTGATTGGGCTACCAACAAGACAGGGAGCAACACAGGGCAACCACTCAATGTCGTGCAAAATCAGTACACCCAGGAGAACTGTTCTGAGCCTTCACATTTTGCTCAGTCACTCAACGTGTGTTTCTTGACATTTCAACTTCCCAACCATGTCGATCCTGACCATCACTATCCAAACGATTATCAAATACACAATATCTATCCCACAATACTCGAACTTGTAACATTATCTCCAGCATCTTCAATGGCATATACCAATATCTCATTGTACCACACGCCACTGCGCGACCTTTTGGCCGTGAGCGGGGATACCTGGGTGTTTTCTCAAAAGATTACAAATCAAACCCAATTTCGCGAAGCACAGTCACGTCTGAAAACTTGGTCATCGTCTCTAGCAGCAGCCACCGCCACGCATTATGCTTGTCGCATCTTACTCTCCGAGTTTTCAGCGCCATACATCCCATCTTCCTATAGTAACACAACGCAACATTCTCCGGACCTTTCTCACTATTGGTCTCTAAACATCGCCGCCTTGATCTGCTGGGCATTTGGACACCGAATCAGCGGAAACAGCGGTGCTTTTACAGCTCTAGACTTTAACGCTTCTCCCGAAGCTTCGGGGGATGTACGACTTAAAGCTCTCGTGTATCTCAGTTCTATGGTAGAGCTAGATATCAAAGATCTCCTGACTAGCAAGGCGACTATGCGGGGAGAAATCTCCTATGTTATCGATGCAGTGCGCGCAAGACTAGAGATCGATAGTGTTGGAGGCCACTGCATGAGTCTCGTTGATTCCATCTGTGTTTTAAAGCGTCTTAATGAGAGCGGAAGAGGAAAGTGGTTCTAGGTCTTTTTTTCTCATCTTTCCCATGTTCATTTATTTCCTTTGGATCATTTCCTTCACTTTTCCATTTCTTTCTTAGATCAATTCTTCTGAATCGACCTTGTGCGATAAGTTTTTTCTTTCTTCTTTTGGTATCTCTTCACTTCCTAACCGAGGAAGCGGATTGGCATATGTCATGCCTCAAGTAATGATGACGGATTTCTTTTCAAATTTCCTAATGTCTGGTTTCCTTCTATACACGTTTTCAACATCTTCATCTGGGGAGGAATATCCATTTCTTTACATTCTGTCAAGCTGTACGAGTACATTTCTTCATCTGTATTACCACCTACCTGTACCTTTTATTTCCTTCCCATATTATTATTTCCATTTCTACATTTCTCTCATGATTCCTTTCCATTTCCCGAGTTTTTTATTTTCCCTCTGCATATGATTGATGTTAATGAATAAAATGCATATGGTGACATATCATATCCAGATGATGGTGTTATAATCGAGGGGTTTAAGGGAGGTTTGGCTGATGGGACGGATCGCACTACATATACACATACACATACACATACACATGCATAACATATTCATGATACCCCGGAGGATGCGAGCGCGAGTCAGAGTAAGGAAACAAGGAGGGGCAGGCAAGGGAGGAAGGAAGATTTGCGCCTTTGTACACTATTGTATTGCATTGCATTTGTGTTGTATTGTATTCTATTGTATTGCGTTGCACCTCGCTTTTTTTCGAGCATATAGACATAGATATTAATTGTTTATATCATACACATCCACATCCACATCCATCCACCATATCTGCGAAAACTTCGCAAGTAAACATGAGCTTTGCGCTAGGAAAATAAAGGAAAATGAAGCAAAGCAGTATCTGCAATTATCCACACCAATACTAATTCTCCTCGAGAGATAACTTGTGTTGGAAAAACGCCCTACACATAATCCATTATCCATCAGCTCCCAAAGCCCATCTCGTACAAAACCCACAGAACCCATCTACCGTAGTAAGTAGCACTCCCTATCTTGAACCCTCGTCCCATCCATCCATGTATCCCAACCACTGCACAATATACATGTACATATCAATGCACACACACACACACACACACATCATAGACCCCGATCCCGACAAAGAGAGAGAGCCCGACGCATACTGCTGTCCTCTTATGCCATGCCATGCCATGCTAGAAGGGTCTTTCAACAATACTCCGTACACAAAGTTCTCAAGGCTCGAGATAGCCCTCAGCATTCGGAAGTGAAACTCTTTTTGTACAAGATATATTTCAGATAACAACGACCAATTCATTTGACTTAAGAAGATTTTGTAACTATCCGGACCCAAGGAATATACACCCAAAGTCTATCGCACCATAAGTCATTTCAGACCACTGCAGCAGCAGACATGTATCGTTTCAAATAGTCAAAATTACACATACACATACACATACATGTACACACGCCCGCAAAAAATTCAAACACCCAACATCAAAGTATTGAAACTGCATTTTTATTCATTAGAGACGAGAGGAAAGCCTTTATTTACAATTTTCCAAAGTGGTACGCTTGCTTGCTTTCCTCCACTCACAATTTATCTTTCATGAATTGACTAAACCCATCATCATCAATCAATCACTAACTAGACTAAATACCAACTAACACCAGAATGTCGGCGAAGTCAAGAGAACCATTTGTAACTTTGTAAAACGGGAACTAGAAAATTCAATGCAACAAGGGCGGGCAAGGGTACTCAGCCGGTATCAAAAAGCACAATCCACACTCTCTCCTTCTCATTTACGCTTATCCCACTTTAAACCCCTTCCTCCACATTACGTACTCCTGGGACAAGGCAAACAAGGATCTGGTAATATCTTACAGTTCAGGAAAAAGGTGTGCTTCCCAGAGTATAATCGCTGTGTCTGTCTTACCACAACCATCTCATCCAGCCACTACTTTCATTCACTTATTCCTTGTGGAATTTTGCCTTCAACTTGCCAAAAAAGCTGGTACGCTTCTTCTTTTTGTCAGCCGCGGCAGAATTAGCTGAGCTGTCTGCGGCGTTGGTACTTGATGGAGTGGCGGATTCGGCAGAGGACTTTGCGGGGGTCAAGGTAGCATTCTCCTTTGGAGGAGTGGCTGGAGCAGAACCTGAAGTTTCAGGAACAATTGTAGAACCCAGTCCACTAGTAACAACAGGTGCAGCGTTGTCTTCGGTGGCGGGACTAGTGAGTGGTGAAACATCCTTGGAATCGATTGGCTTTGTTTCTGTTGCTGTTGGCTCAGAGATGGTAGGAACGTTGGTAGATTCAACCCCTGTGGTGACAGCTGGGGCAGTAGCAGCAGAGGTGCTTGGAACCTCTGTGGAGGTGACTCCACTGGTGACAACTGGAGCAGTAGAAGCAGCAGGTTCAGAAGGCTCAACAGCACTTGTCGATTCAATCTTTGGTGCAGGTTCACCGGTTGAGTTTTCAGGTTTGATCTCGGACAACAATTCCTTCTCGAAGGCCTTCTTGTCAAGGACAGCTTCTTCGTTGGCGGCAGCCTCTGGGCTTTGGCCTGATTCAGCAATTGACTCCTTAACAACCGCAGGGGTGTCCTTGGCAGTGGATGTCTCGGGCTTGACTCCGGACAATAATTCTGCCTCAACAGCTTTCTTGTCGAGAACAGCTGCCTCGTTAGCAGCAGCTTCTGGGCTTTGACCAGACTCAACAATTGATTCTCTGACAATTTCTGGAGTGTCCTTGGCAGTTGTTTGGTCAACAGTGCCGGTAGCGTTGACCGATTTGATGGACTGTTGAACAGATTCTGGCAACTTGCTGGTCAAGCTCTCTGGAAGGTTGCTTGGAATGCTTGCAACGGACTCTGGAAGTTTGCTTGGAATGCTTGTAACGCTCTCTGGGAGCTTACTTGGGATAGCGGAAGCAGCAGCATATGCGGCACCTCCTACAGCGATGGCAGCTGCTCCAACAGCAGCAGCAGCCTCACCTGCAGTAACAGTCTTTTCAGTCTTGGTTGTTCCTTGTCCAGCAATTCCTTCGGAAGTTGTTGGAGCAACACCGACTTCCCTCTTAAGTTCCTTCTCAACGGCGCTCTTCTCAGAAACTTCGGAGGGAATTGCGCTAGCCTCTGGAGCGAATCCTGCCTCTTTTTGGCTCTCCTTGACAACCTCTGGCACCTTTGTCGATTCGAGTGGAACCTTGGCGGCAAGGATTGATGTTGTAGTTTGAGGACCGGCAGATTGGATGGTTGGGTTTGTCGCATCAAATGTTCCTGCTTCATCGGCTCCAGTTGGCAAGCTTGATTCAGGAATCAAGTTCTTGGTCGATGAAGGCAAACCGAGAATTCCAGTACCATTCAGCTCCCGCTCCGCCTGAGGAGTGACAACTGGAGGAAGGATAGGAGCATGACCTAATGCGTCGCTATTCTCATATGATTCCTTGTCGGTGCGAACAGCTGAGTGGATGGTGTTGGTAGTGAAGTCGCTTGATTTAGGGATCTCTTCTCCAGGCGCAAGTTTTATAGGGTTTACTCCACCAGCAAAAGCGGGGAGCGGTGAGACACCAAACGTAGACTCGGCTTCGGATTTGGCTTTGTCTGCAGCGACAAGCTCGGGATCATCATGTACGCCAGAAGTGATATCGTTGGTGGTGAAAGAGCTTGGATGTGGAACATTCTCTCCTGGTGCGAGCTTGATGGGATTGACAGCACCATCTGCAGCGGGCAGAGGATTCACAGAGAAATCACCAGTTTCCACAGCCGCTGGAGTTTCGGGAAATGCTCCAGGCAAATCTGAAGAGCCATTTTGGGCAAGTGGGGATTTCTCTTTCTCAAGAGGAACATCCTTTGCCAATCCTGACGTAGTCGAGGTTGGGGCAACGCCAGACATAATTCCAGCGGTCGCAGGTGTATGTTTGACAATTCTATCTGTTGTGAGGACGTTGTTTAAATTTCCCGATGCGTCGTTTTCTTGAGGAGCGGTGTGATCTGTAACCCAATTACCGTCGACGACGAACTGTGTGGTATTTAATTAGCTTTGTGAAAAATTGTGAATAATTGACCAAGTTCGAGAGAGACGGCAGGAAGAAAAAAAAAGACGAAGATGGGTCAGGCTATGATTTTAAAAGAAGGGCGGTAGTTGAACATAGCTGAAGCAAACAAACAAGCGGGGTTGGGGAATAGGCGGGACCTAGCCTGCGTGTACAATTAATCATGCAAGCAACAGGCCTGATTATTATTGGGAGTAATTTTGCCAACTTCGAAGCCTGGCAAAATCAACTCAATGCGTCATAAGTGGAGGAATTTTTAAGCTGCAAGTCTCACTTCGACGCATGCTTCGAGAGTGGGAATTTGAATCACTAGGCGCATTTGACGAGCGGCCTCGATTTTAATCTCGACCATGTCGCAATCATGGTGGCCATTGTTGCCATTATCGTTGTCGCCGATAAAAGCAAATTCCAATATCGCATCCAAATCATCCGTCAAAGTAGGCTCACCTTGTAATAAATCTTTTCTTCAGCGTTTGCAAGTTGGACATCCTTCGAAAAGACATCGCCATTCTTTACCAATTTTTCGCTCTTGGACCAGTTATCGAATGTTCCAGTAACAAAGACCTCTTCCGCAGGATGCTCCCTAATGAGAACAAAACTGGTTAGCTATTGAAATAATCAAATTGATCACATACGGCTTGATGAAAATTTGTGCCATTGTCAAGACAACATCTTGCGCATACTGGTATGGTGTTGCAGATGATGGGGATCGGAAATGCAGAAGAGAGGAGTCTTCTCAGAACCTCGAATTTATCATTGGACAATTGAATCGATGATTTTCAGAAGGACATAAATACAAATATGGAAGAAGAAAAAGAAAAAACTTACCACTTGAAAACAAAGCTTCCCATTTTGATGGGTGTAGGGTATTCAGCAAACAAGAAGAGGTGATGTAGGTGAAGCTAATAAATGATTGAAAATGATGAATCAAAGAAGATGTTTTGTTGATGTAGAGGAGAGAAGCTGAAGGTGGAATAATAAGATTCGACCTTTTTGAGATTTGATTGTGTATGCGTAGTAGGTAGCAGGTAGCAGGTAGTAAGGTAGCAAGTAGGGTAGAAGTTGGTGGTCGGAAATTATCTGGGATTGGCGCAAAAACGGTTCAGTGCGGTTACAGATACGGACGATAGCTGGGCTCTTTGTACCAAGTTGGTAGGTACCGGTAGGTGGTGAAGACTTCTGGCTGGATCCGACTCTGACTTTGGCTCTGACTCTGGATCTGGATCTGACTCTGACTCTGACTCTGACTCTGACTCGACTTTGACTTTGACTGTGAGAATTTGACTCTGTTGGAATATTAATTGATTTATGTATTTCGATAAGGGAAGAAGATATCACTGATAACCCAAGTTTTACTCTAATTTTAAATATGCGATATGCGAGTCTTCCAAGGTTATTACGGTACTGTATGTGTGTATGTAGGTAGTGAATTGAGAAAGAAGGAATTTCCAACTCTGATATTCTTTTTATACAATGGAATAAAATGTGGTGAGAAAGATAGCAGTAGGCAGGTAGGTAGGTAGGTAGGTACGGTATGGTATGATGGCATTCATGGGATTCTTCTTCTTTGTTATCCAATCAATTTCTAATGAGGAGGCTGGAGGATAGATAAGAGAGGAGGGATGGTGAGTGAGTACCTAGGGATGGATGACTATGAGCATGAGTGAGCGAGAAGAAGTGTTGCTATTTATTCTTCTTTCTGAGGTGATAGAATGATAGAACGATAGAACGAACCATCGAACAAGCACAACTAACTAGACGCTTTTGTTATCAATGCTAGGAATACTTCGTAGTTATTGATGGCTGTGTGCATATGCAAGAATATGCTTGATTGCCTCATCAGAGAGAGCTCCAATTCCTTAAGAGTGGCTCATGAAATACCTAGCTGGTAATTTAAAGTGATTAATGTCAAATATTCCGGCTATCATGCATGTATGACATTGTATGTACAGACTCGAGACCGAAGAGTATCCATTTTCTCCTCGAGTATTTTCTTTTGATTACGATAGCGATGAGGTACTGCATCGACCAGTAGACAATCCGAAAGTTCCTGTATACTGCTTGACTGCTTGACTGCTTGACTGCTTGACTACTTGACTACTTGACAGCTTGACAGCTCAACGAGACCAGTGTCCATGATTGATAGATCGATAGCCCTTCAATCTGAACGCTATCACTTATACGTCAAGAGTGGTAGGTAGTGTAGGGCTTCATGGGGGAAACCCTTTAAAACTACCTAGTCCCTACCGGTACCTACTAGACAGTATATGTCATGAAGGGGGCAAAAACTTGAAAATTAGAGTTCCCTAGTAGAATGTTGAACTTGGCTGAAGCGTTCATTCGTGATGATTCTGATGATTCTGATGATTCGATGAAGGGGGAGGGGGGCAATCCGAAACTAAGCACTTGTTCTTGATAGAACGACCGGTGATGCCGCTTTTAATCACCGACCGGAAGGAGAGGGAGATGGAAGAGGACTTTTATTTATTAATTGCTTCTGCCTTATTATTGCGGGGAATCAAAAGTAATCAATCACGCATTGGAGCGAGCTACTAGCTACTTATTAGTCCTCCCAGACGGAAACTCTATTTCACTTATCATGATGGTGTGAGAAGTATCATGAGCTTCAATTGGAGCCGATTGCCCCTTTCTGTACGCTCGAGTCACGATTTGACAATCCATGATTTGCTCATGTGTGAGGTAGGTAGACACTAGGTATGCATTTCACATTGACACCGGCAGTAGGTCGCAGCAAATGTTTTATCTTATTGCATTCTGTTATATTTTATTTCATTTCATTTCATTTTATTTCATTTTACGTCTTTCTCCATAAAACCCCCCTCTCCCCCCCTCCAAGGAAATCAATCAATGAATCCTCTACAGACGAAGCTAATACCTAGGTAGGTGTACTAGGGATCTAGTAAGCATTTTGATAGCTTTTCTTGCTGTGACTATGACGTTCTCTCAACCCCTTAACCAGGTGCTTGTACGTCGATACGCCCATACGCTTGTACACACAAAGTATCAAAGTATCAAAGTGTCAGATGCTTATGGAAAGTCTATCAGATCATCTGTAGATACCTAGGTAGTGTTGATGGATACGAGGAAGTTAAAAGACACCCATTAATATGTCATTCATTGATTATCTGAGATGAGTTGTATGAGTTGTATGAGTTGTATGAGTCGTACGAGAGAAGAAACCAAAGCTACCCAATACAAAGAATAATGCTAATCAATAACCCATCCATATTTCAATAGAAGGTCTGTCGCAAACAATCGGAGATTGAGCTCTCAGTGAAAAAGTCATGGTTCTTTGTTTCAATCAAATTTGGATGATGATTATGAATGACTATCTAGGGTGATACCATATCTAACCAAGAACTAATCTCAATCACTGGCAGCAAATTTAATAAGGAGAAGGAGAAGAAGAAGACGGAGAGGAAGAAGGAGAAGGAGAAGGAGAAGGAGAAGAAGGAGATTCAACGACTAAGACCACCAATCGAGCAATACCAATAATACAGCCTTTGTTCATTGCAAATCAGAATGTCTGATATTTAAAGCTATTGAAATGAATGTTCTCACAGCTTGGACGCAAATCTTTTCTCTCTATATAAGAAGTATTTGACCAAATATCGATACAAAAGATGGGAACTCTTTCCAATACATTTCATTCATCCAACACACTGTACATGATCTGTTACTTGACCCTTTGCTTTGTCAAAGTATCTAGGTAGAGGGAGAGACAAGGGATTACCTCCCCTACATATCGACTTGCCTAGCATTATTACTATTGTCATTATCGTTATTATTGACTTGATCGTCCATTTTGATCCATCTTCGCACACATACATACAATACTCACTTACATACATACTTACATACACACTTACATACACACTCACATATATACCTACCATCTCTCCCTCGTACATAAAAGAAGATTGCCTTGCCGCACCCAAACATCAAGCATTATTCCTTCGGATCGTTTCAATTCCTTCTAGGTTTCTTCTCGAACTTTTCATCGAAGCTTCAAAAACCAATCAATTTTATTCCATCTCACTACCGCTTCCCTCCCCCACATCCAAGCGAGAAGGGTTGTTACGGTAGGCAAGAGCTTCGCCATTTCCCCCCTCCCCTCGCCTTGTCGATCAAGATACCGGTACCTTCCTTCCAGTCTCTTTAGATAACTCTTCCTCAATAACTCCTTTTGATACCCTTCATTTCAATCATCATCTCAACGCTCGCAACCTTCTATCATACCAACACCATCTCGTCTCCTGCCGTGTTAGAGTCTCGTTCCAATATAGAGAGGTCGGACTCAAAGCTCAACCTATTCAATAAGGTCCTGGTAGGTGTTTACCTTTACTCCACTTTCCCCGTGGATTCATTAATTCTAGTACAAAGTACTGAAGCCTGTACACAATAGAAAGGAAGTTGCTGTGAATACATCAATCATTTCCATCAACTTTCTAGCTGTCAGTGGCATGCTCTCTATACGCTTCCTTCACATTGACTTACTACATGCACTTCTCATGAGCTCTCACTAAATTGTTTCACCATCATATAGATTACACCAACTTCATCCGTCAACTCCTTCTCAATTCCGTCTTATCTGCTGTGGAATCCTCTTCTCGATTCACTCGATTACATTGTCGCAATTCTATGAATCTTCACTAGTTTGTAAACAAAGCATTGAGCTGTTTACCTCACATAACGAGTTCGAATGTCACTACCGTCGGTGTACTTGACCGAAATCGAGTCCCTCAGTCAAGAAATTATTAGAAACCAACCTACCGATATTTTACAATTCTGTGCCAACTATTTTAGTCAACGTCTAGAAACTGAGCGCACTGGGTTTCTGTCATCTCGCAATAGATCATATCGTTCCGTATCACCAGGGACCGCAAATCGGCCGAGAATGGCTGGAAACACATTCCCTGGTCGGCTTGGAACTCACGCCAATCCTTTTGGTGGTGATGGAAATGGTTTAGGACATGAACAAGCGGTTCCCGGCAATATTTCAAAAGTCATAGAGGAGGATGAAAATGATACGATAACATCACCAACAACACCAAGTTTTGGATTCTCAAAGGGAGTTCCTTCATTTGGAGCTTCGTTTGGAGCTTCATTCGGAGGAGATGCAAGTACCGGAGACTTTCCACCATCTTCTTTCAAGCCTGCGAGCGAAGGATTTCCCGAGCATTACGGCATGGGGAGGCGCACTTCTGTTTCAGCCGAATCACTCAACCCAACAGCTTCATCCAACGATAACTGGACTCCACCCTTTCATCAAAAAACACCGGATCAAGTAGCACGCTTAAAGAAGTCAATTTCGGGAAACTTTCTTTTTAGTCATCTCGATGACGAACAAAGCGCTCAAGTACTAGGTGCTCTCGTAGAGAAGCCAATTCCTGCCGTTGGTATTAAGGTATGTATAGCTTCAATTATTGAGCCTCTTGAACCCCACTAATTTAATCTAGGTCATCTCGCAAGGTGATCAGGGAGATTTCTTCTACGTAGTCGAGAAAGGCTCTTTTGACGTACATGTCAACTCCACTGGCTCACTGCAACCAGGTCCCGATGGTCTCGGGTCCAAGGTAGCCACCATTGAGCCTGGTGGATCCTTTGGTGAACTCGCCCTGATGTATAACGCCCCCAGAGCAGCCACAGTCATATCTGCAGAGGGTTCCTGCACTCTCTGGGCCCTAGATCGTATAACTTTCCGCCGAATTCTTATGGATTCAACATTCCAGCGCCGTCGTCTCTATGAAAGTTTCCTCGAAGAAGTGCCACTTCTCTCAACTTTGACCCGTTATGAAAGGTCGAAGATTGCTGATGCTTTGGAGACCCAGAAATACCCGCCTGGTACTTCGATCATAAATGAAGGAGATGCTGGAGAGGCATTCTATCTTCTTGAGAGTGGAGAGGCTGAAGCATACAAGCGTGGCGTAGATAACCCAGTAAAATTATACCACAAGGGAGACTATTTCGGAGAATTGGCGTTACTAAATGATGCTCCCCGAGCTGCTAGTGTTGTTAGCAAAACCGAAGTAAAGGTAGCTACCCTTGGCAAAAACGGGTTCCAGAGATTATTGGGACCGGTTGAAAGTATTATGAGAAGAACAAAATATGAAGGCGTGGAGAGCATTGATCCCCTTCACCAGAACTAAAGGATTGTTGGTTTGGAATGGATTCGTTTTACTTGATGGCGTTCAGATACAGGTTACGTTCGTTCATGAGATGATCAAATGGACTAGGGATTATTATTGGGCAATACCTGAGATGCAGACAAGAGTCAGATTTTCAATCACTTTGCAATTGTATTATTGATGCTGTTAGCGAACTGCTTTTGAATGCTAATTAGTTTTACACCATGCATCTTTCATCCTGACGCCTCGAATTATAATTTTGTGATGTAACCTCAAGGATGCCAAAACCGCAGATACAAACATCTCAATAGTGGTACTAAATTTTGTCCACATTTAACCCTTCGCTGTTCGAATATTCTTGTAGTCTCAACCAGAGTCCAACTAGTGATTTCATCCCATGTCCCTCTACTCTATTCCATATCTTACATGCCTCCAACTCAGAATTAGCTAGCACCCGCTCTTCTCTTGTCCAAAATCTCCCTCCTAATACCTTCAGCTGCCACCTCTGTCTCCAACACCCTTCCGATGCCTTTCTTCCACCCTTCCTCTAGACCTCTAATCTCCGCCTCCGCAGCCTCCTGTGCATTCTTCCTCCCAATTACCACAAGATCAATCTCATCTTTCTTTGCGGCAACCTCCCTCTCCAACCCCTTTAATATATCCTCCAACTGCGCGTTTCCAATCAACCATGCATTTTTACCAAACTGATCGAGGAGAGAGAGATTGGTAAGACGCGTATTTAGATAGGTTTGAGAGGTGTAGGCTTGGGAGAGGAGAGTCTGAGCTGGGAGTGTGGAGTCCGCGGGGGAGAGTGTTTCGTAGCGGGTTAGGTCGATGGCTTTTAGAGGGGGTGGAGGGGTTGAAGAGGATATGCGGGCGTGTTCTGCGGTGAGGGCGGGGGAGAGATTGGAGGGGAGGAGAGCCGGGAGAGAGGGGTGTGGTGTGGATGGGGAGTTGGGCTCGAGCGAGCTGGCTATGAGGAATTCGGCGGCGGCGCGCTCGGAGGGTGTAGGTTCGACGTCGATGTATGGGAGGGATTCGTGGATTTCGTTTATGAGAGGCATTTTGGAGTGGGGTTTGGGGTAGATTTTGAGGATTGGGCTGATGGATTGTGATTTCGAGGTATTTGATGTGAGGAAGCTTGAGATTTGGTTGAAATTTGTATAAGCACCAATTCGGGATTAAATTTTTCCTTTCGTGTTTTTTAAGTATTCCCGATATAGATGGATTGTAATAGATCGTAGCAACTAATTTTTAAACTGGAATATAAGTGCTTGGAAAAAGCTGATGTGTTTGTTTGATTGATAAAATAAATATAAATTCCTCATGTGCAAGTCAAACACGCCTAGAAGCTTAAGGTTTGCCTTGCGCGCCAGGCTCGCTCCACTAAGGGAGCTTGACTGGGAACCAAGGAACCGGCCGCCACTCCCGCCTCCAGCTTTAAGCTACCAACTCTACATTGTTCACCATGGGATGATGTATTGACATTCCCATAATTCAAAGGGACTATATTATCATTAAAATTACAAAGTACTTTATACTTTGAAATCATGGAGCGGGATCCGGAAATGAAGATCGGTCTTCTCGACGAGAACCGACGTGAGCATAGACAGGATAACTCCCGCCCAAATCGATTTTGGATGAATGTCGTTGGAGCAATTGTCGTTGTCGTAACTATATTATGTTTATGTGATTCTTTCAATGGCGGATCTTTGCGAAAGGGGCTTTGGGTATGGACCGATGGGGATTACAAAAATACCGGCAATCAACAGTATGGTAGTTCAGAGGGCAGCCAGTATTTACTGGGGGTTGGAAAAGCAGATATCACTGGGTATGAATCTTGCATTTTAATATCGTGATACAATACTAACACTTATTAGTCCAGTTGTGGAAATCAACATGATGGGATATGCAGATACCAAGCAAGTTGGATCGGGGTTACGGCAACGCCTCTATTCTCGAGCTTTTATCGTAGGAGATATCGACCGGCCGGAAGACCGGTTCGTCTATCTCGTTCTGGATACACAATCGGGAGATACTGCTGTTAGATATGGGATACTGGAAGGTCTTGCAAATCTAGGTAGCGATTATGCTGTGTATGGACAACAGAATGTAGCCGTGACAGGCACGCATTCTCATTCTGGTCCCGGGGCATGGCTGAATTATCTACTACCCCAAATTACCAGCAAAGGATTCAGTAAACAGAGTTATCAGGCTATAGTAGATGGAGCTGTTTTGTCTATCCAAAGAGCTCATACCAGCCTTCAACCTGGATATCTGAATGTCGGTTCGACGAAAGTTTTTGGGGCCAATATCAATCGAAGTTTATATGCCTATTTGGCAAATCCGGAAGAAGAACGAGCAAAGTACAATACTAGTACTGAGGATGATGGATCTGTCGAGAAGGATCTCACTCTTTTGAAATTCTCACGAGCTTCCGATGGGAAGAATATTGGGGTCTTGACATGGTTTCCTACACACGGAACTTCAATGCTGGGGAACAATACTCTTATTTCGGGAGATAACAAAGGTGTCGCTGCAGATCTCTTCGAAAAGAGTGTAGTTCAAGAGGACAATGCAGCTGAAGGTTTTGTGGCCGGATTCTCGCAAGCTAACGTTGGCGATACAAGCCCGAATGTTCTTGGTGCTTGGTGTGAAGACGGATCCGGGCAGCAATGTAGTTTCGAAAACAGCACGTGCAGTGATGGTAAAAGTCAGTACTGCCATGCTCGTGGACCTTTCTTCCGCGTAAAGGATAATGGTGCATCGTCTTGCCACGAAGTTGGCAAGAGGCAATTCCGGCCTGCTAAGATATTATACGATGAGACTGACACAAAGTTGACTGCTGTTTCGGGATCATCCGTGAAATCGTTCCACACATTTAAAGATATGTCAAACTTCTCCTTTCCTTTGGACAATGGAAGTTACGTTCATACGTGTCCAGCTGCTTTGGGGTATTCCTTCGCGGCTGGAACCTCTGATGGGCCAGGTGCATTTGATTTCACTCAAAATGATCCCAATACACCAAATGCTTCGCCCGTGTGGCGTGTCGTGTCCGGTCTCATTAAGGCACCAAGCAAGCAGCAACAGCGTTGCCATTACCCCAAACCTATTTTACTTGACGTTGGCGAGATCACAACACCTTATTTGTGGACACCCAATGTGGTCGATGTACAATTACTTCGAGTCGGACAACTATTCATCATTGTCAGTCCTGGAGAAGCAACAACGATGTCTGGTCGTCGCTGGAAAGAAGCCATTCATGACTCCGCCGCATCTACCATCCTCTCAGACCCATCCTCACCGGATCCAATCGTGGTCATCGGAGGTCCAGCTAATAGCTACACACACTACATTGCCACTCCCGAGGAGTACGGTATCCAACGCTACGAAGGCGCCTCCACTCTCTACGGTCCCTACACCCTCAATGCCTACATCAACCTTACACTCTCCCACCTCCCCTTCCTGAGTCCAACCTCCGTTTCTCAACCCCCACCTGGCCCGCTCCCTCCAAACAACGTCAATAAATCCCTCTCCTTCATAACCGGCGTCGTCTATGACGGCCACCCAATTTTCACCTCCTACGGCGATATAAGAACCGACGTTTCCCCCTCCTATCCCCTTTCTTCCTCCCCAGTCATAACCGCTACATTCATCGGCGCCAATCCACGCAATAACCTCCATCTCGAATCAACATATGCTTCTATCGAAATGTTCACCCCCGACACCTCGAAATGGGTCCGAATCCGCGACGATAGCGATTGGAGTCTCATATTCGAGTGGAAGAAAGTAAGCGAGATTCTGGGGACGAGCGAAGTAACTATTACGTGGGAGACGGAGGAGTGGGCCCAGGAAGGTCGATACCGGATTAGATATTTTGGCGATTCCAAGGCGGTGGGGGGCGCGATTACGCCGTTTGAGGGGGTGAGTGGGGTGTTTGAACTTGTGTAGGGAGGGGTTGGATAGGGCTTCCTTTTATGGTTATGGGTTATGGATTATGGTTATGGTTATGAGCATCGGACGGGGGGATTTGGTAATATGGGTTCAGGGGATGGGGTAATGGTATACATGCACAAGTGGATTGGCATAGCATGGACAGGTCAAATTGCTAATAATGTCAGGACGACAGAACAGTCAAATTGGATTGTAGACTATATTTTGATGTATCCACTTGACTCGGAACATTCATACCACTGAAATTTAGATTTGAGTTCGGAGATCGATATCACTCTACATAATGAAACTGAGCGGAAACCTATATATCATTTGGGACATTGCGATTCTCATTTATAACATGATTATTCCGTCTATTTACGATTTTATACTTTTTTAATTTGCTGGGTATTATACTGTATAGACAAGCTCGCGCTCAAGACAACACCAAAATATGAAAAATCCCCCAATCTCTCATTCAAGCATGTAACCCAATCTTCGCCGATAAACTCCATCATATCACCATGTCTCCACATTATCGTAAGTTCAGCCCATAGCTGCTCTCTTTAACTTTATTCTCTCCCTTTGATCCACCTTCCACGCATCTTCGAAAAGCGTTGGCTTTACTTTTAGATCCTCCGGGGTAAGATCTAATGCTCTGACAACCTTGAATGCACCTGTACCAACGCCCATTGTCTGTCCCATGATGATACACTCACTAACGCCCTCGATTCTGTCTGTCTTCATGCCCGCAGCCGCATCGAAAAGATGATCTGGTGTTTTCTCAAAGGATGCAAGTTGCAACACACTATCTCTCATTTTGGAAAGACCGAAACGTGTGATACCTAAGACTTCTCCCTTGTACGTCATGACATCGGCAAGGAGTTGCATGTGACGAGGATCGATGTCCATGTCTGCCATAACGGTTGCAATTTCGTTGGCGATTGTGGAACGGGCAGCTTCAATACCGAGGACATCACGCATCTCCATGACACTGTTAGATTTGACTTTGGTGCCGTCGACACCTTCAGTTCCGATACAGGCACGGAGACCATATCCTTCGACGACGACTGTGTACTCTGGCACCG